CCAGTTCTCCTGCTTCCAACGCTTGAAGAGCTGCCTGTTGCCTCCTGCCTGATACATCCCGTCTCCTGACAGGAGTCGTTGTAATGAGATATAGATGTTGTCCAGTGAACCTGAACACCCAGCATTCATTAACTCTCCCTCTGTGGATAATGGTGGTTCTGCTTCACTGATTCTTTTCTTTGTTGCCAAACGAAGCAGCCGAGTGTGTTGCATAAGATCTGAGCACCTGTTAATCACGGCGTCACCTTCTGGCTCCGATCCCTGCTCAGCAATGAAAAACGATCGCAGTTTATTCAAGCTGCTCTGACAACAACGCCGAGGCTCTGGCTGGGATTACACAGGAGGACAAAGTGCAGTGAAGTCATCACCGGGCAGTTCTACACATGTCACACAGCCGCTCATTCACGCTGCTCCTGACAGTAAGCAGCAGATGGAAACCCTGACGTGTCCCCATGAACCACAGGTACACCATCATCAGAGCAGGGCACTGCTGTGACTTCATCTGAGATACTGACTGTTCCAGAGAAGTCTTCCTTACACAGACTGACGGGAACTAATGTGTTAACCAGGAGTGAGATGTTTCTCCTGAGGACAACAGGGTTACCTGAGGCCTCCTGGCAGCTAATCAGCTGTGTTTGGGCAGTTTCGTCTTCACACTCTCTCTAACCTGACGTGTCACGGAGGAAATATGAGCACAGCGAGTGTTTTAGGAGCCACTGTTTGTCGCCTTCACAGATGAAGGAGAGACATTTCCAAACACTCTTGTTCAAAGCTGTTCCTTTATTTGGCGTCTTCCAAAGTCTATTTGCACCTTTTGTTCATTTATATTTGGACTGTGTTGCTGCAAAACTGACAGCAGGTGACGAAGATGATGAACTTTTATCAGCTCAGCTTCCTCCAAGGCTTCCAAGTGTGCCTGTGATACTAAGAGCATGAAGCTAAGCTAATCACTTCAGTGCCCTGCTGAGTGTAATTCAGGCTCTGAGTTGACATCATCAGAACCTTCAAAGGGTAAAGCTTGAAGTTCTAGTGTTGGATAATGAGATAAAGGTGTTGTGAGCAGTGTGAGTACACTTCAACAAATTACTTTCACATCTGTCCAGAACACACAGATCAGCACAGCTGGCCAGCATTCCTGGACTCTGCTCCAGTTCTGTCCTCTTCCTCCCAAGTTTCCTCAAACCAGTAACACAGATCACAGCATCAGGGCTGTGGGTCCATCAGCAGAGCTACAACGCTGATCTGAAGTCATGTACTCAGCTCCCACCTCGACAGAAAGGGACCGACCTGGGGACGGGACCGAGCCAGCACTGAGCTATCCTCCGGGCTCTCTGTAAACTGTTTCTGAACCATGTGATATATTTCTGATCCATCTTGGACATTTTGCAGATACGTGATACCTGCACGTGTAGGAATCCCAAAGAGGCCGCCTTACACTGTCTGTGACCTCAGATCTGTTCAGCTCAGACAGGCTTGTTGTGTGTGTGTGTGTGTGTGTGTGTGTGTGTGTGTGTGTGTGTCACAGTGAACACCTGTGTGCAGCGTGTTGCATCATGGGTTTATACACTTCAGTGGTGACTAATAGCTGCGTTTCCTAACAGCTGATTGTGCATTTTACTGAGTGGAAAGCTGTCTGTTGTAATGACGCTCACGGTGAAGCTACAAACACACACACAGCATCCTTCACACACTGCATAACACCACCACGCACAGGGCTGAATCTGCACACACACACTGGCCAACACACAGTGAGGAGATGTGTCTACGGCCTGCAGCGCTGGTCTCTGACTAAGCCGATGTGGAGTCGGCCTCAGACTGCAGGGAATGACCTCAGCTCTGAATCATGTGGCGCCTGGCCGCGAGTGTGAACAATGCAATCAGCCAGCCATCCTTCTCACTCATAAACTGTCAGAGGGCCTCACACAGTGGCTGGACGCCCTGCAGGAGGCTCCAGCGCTTCATGGGCCAATTAGGCCGTCTTAGGCAAACTCACTGGGACGGGGGAGATTTACATCTGTGTGGCAACTTTGGGATGTAAAATACATGATTTTATTCCCTCAGCTTTGTTCTGCCTTTTATTAGATGGACAATAAACAGAAACAGTCCAACCAGCATGCACAGAGGCTCAAGTTTAGGTGGCCTTATGAACCTTAGAGTGCCAGTGACAACCCTCTGCATAACTCCAAACTCCACGGTTCTGGGTGTTGTTGCTCCCGTCACATTTCTACTCACTGTGGGTCATGTTTCACAATCAAAAAGCCATAAATCATTTAAAAAAAAAAACAAAAAAACACTACGCTTTGCCCGTAGGTGGTACCCATAGTACACCACTACACATATTTTACTCCTTTATTTCACGCCTATTGCCTGCCTGCTCTGTGTAAAGACGGCCTGCAGTTCAGCTACAGTACTAGCAGTAGTACTAGAACTAGTAGAAATAGCAGTAGTGGTGTTGGTACTGGGAGACATAGTAGTAGTAGT